GCCCAAGGGAAGCACAAGGATGAAGGAGAGGGAGCAGGAGAGGGATTCGTAACCCTTTGGGAGCTCAGCGGGAGATCAAAGGCCACCTCGGCATCGTGTTCTGAAGGAAGAAATCCCCTCCTGGACTTGAACGGCAGCTTCCTCTTCTGGGATTTCAATGAAGAGCTTCCCCTCAGCGGGAGCCATGCCTTCTGGGAAGGTTCCAGCCCTGCTGGTTTGGGGACCAGTTGGACCCAGGAAGGCGAGGGGAGATCTGCCCCCCTACATCCCCCCAGGTTGTGCTTCTTCCTTGCCTGCAAAAACCTCTTCCTCCACAAATTCCTGGGGTATATCAAAAAAATAACCACCTGTTTGCTGGAAGCCCACACCGGCATCAGATTTACAGTTGACTTGATGATCTTAAAGGTTTTTTCCAACCTGAATGACTCCATGGTGCTCTCTCTGTCCCCAGCCTACCCGGGGCAGAGGTACGTGGCGCAGGGGCAGAGGTTGAGGAAGCCAGCCGAGGTCTCTCCCCCCAGCTCAGAGGGTTCTAAGATGCTTTCACAGACATATTTTTTTTTGTATTAAGTGACAGTTTCCTAAATCCAGGCTTGCAGGAGCCCTTGGAAGAGCCAAGGCCTGATCTGAGATGCAGGAGACAGCCCCCAGTCCAAGACACGCTGAGAGCTCAGAAGCTACGTCTCTTGCTCACACCCCTCCTCAACACTGGTTTTGGACAATCGCTGCTTTGGAAGGACACTTTCAGCCAATTCAACGAATCTCCTGAACTTCCTTAATCCTTAAATCTGCAAAACATTAAACATCCATCCCACCCTCTGCCAGCCGCTGGCCCCAGGGGCTGAAAGAGAGAAGAGTGCTTCTTTTTAAAAAGAAAATTTTAAATTTGTTTTTATTTGAACTCGGCATTTACATCCCAGTCTAGCTCAACCCCCCGACAAGTGCCGGTCGGTGGAGGGGGTGCTTTGCTCTGCCAAGGAAGTTTGCTGGAGAGTGGAGTGTGATGGAGAGATGGGAGATTCGCTGTTGGACGCAGCCCAGGCCCTTGCTCCAGCATCAGGAACTGGTCACTGCCCAGATCCCAAGCCCAGGGCTTGAATCTGAAGGGGCTTTGTTGCTCCTGTGCATGTGCCCACTTGCCCCTTTCCTGGAGGGGTTGGGCAGGAGCTCCCGGACCATTCCTAGAGGGAAAGGGCAAGAAATGCCTCTCCAAAAAACTTTTGCACTCCCAGAGGTTGCTGAAATCTCTGCGGCTCCACCTCTGCCACAGAAGACTGGCAGGTCTCGGGAATCTTAGCCATGAAGAAATAAATACTAGAAGACCCAACCTGCCATCTCCTTCAGACAGAAGGAGTCAGTGCCCAAGGCAAGGAGCAGGAAAGTCACTGCTCAGTCAGAGCCCAGGAAAACTGCGGAGCCTCCAGGAGAAGGCAGCAGCCAGGGACCTTCGACATCCCTCCATGGAGGGCAGAGCCCTGGGAGCAGGGTCACTCCGATGGCCAGTGCTGCTGGCATCAGCCTGTGGTGCACACACTGGCCACTGCTCTTGGCCACCTTCCCTCTCTCGTGTTCCACACCTCCTCCGTGTGCCAGCTGGCCCGGATCCTGCAGCTCCTGACGTCCCTGCAGAGAATCAGGGGGGTCTCAGAACCCTTTCCCAGCCACGGCTGCCTCCAGTGTTGCGGGTTGATGCTGGATCGCTGCTGTGGCCACGCTGATGGCTTCCTCCAGGCTCTGCTGCTCTTCTAACTAAGGGAGGAAAGGCAGAGAGAAACGCTGTCCACCCCAAAAGGCAGGTTCAGGAGGTGTGGGTTCACTCAGGGCAGCAGGGCAGAGGGACTGGCAGTGGGTGATGCAGGGAGAAAACAGCAGGGCAAAGCAGAGAAGGACATGGCTACGATGCGGAAAGGCTGTTTACAAGGAGCATTCTGCAATCCAAAGAGCAGTCCCTGCTCTCCTCCATACATCTGGGAATCAGGGAGCAAGAGGGGAAGTACTGGAGCCAGTGGGTGGAAGGGGGAGGGAAGGGGAGGGCAGCAGGAGCTGCGGTACCTGCAGGGCGATGTGTGTGCCGTTGGTGGTGGCCAGCAATGCCACCTGCTGCTGACAGAGCGATGCGACGGCTGGTTCTTCAGAGATGACTGCCCCAGAGGTGACTATGGTAACCTAGGAAAAGTTCAGATAAAAACCAATCACGTTTTAAAGAAAATGCAGTCCCTTTCCAGCAGGGAAAAGGGATGGTCCCGGTTGTGTCTGTACCGGCTGTGTCTCGGTGCCGTCCATGTCGGCCACAGTCACGGGGTGTGTGTCACCTCCTGCCAGCTCCTCCTCCGGCACGGCCAGAGCCCCGCTCTGTGTCACCACGCTGATGGCACCGCCCAGGGCCTGCAGGTCTTCCTGTGACAAACTCACCTGGGGGGGACAAAAGTGGACACTCTCAGCCAGGACAGCTCCTCAGGAAGCCTTCAGCAAGCCCCGAGCTTGGCAACACAAAGCTCCTGATAAGGACAAAATATTCTCTCCTCCTCTGCACGCAGGACCCAGGAGAACCCCAAAGACTTTGCTCAAGGTCGTGGACAGAATCGATGGAGAACTCACAGGTCTCCAGCCCTTCCCATTTAGCATCTTCTCCCCAGGCTTTGAGGCACTGGCTGGTGCATCACTGCAGCAGGGAGGCTCTCAGAGTTAAAAGGAAACAAGCGTTACTTGCGGCAGCTGTTTCCTCTGCCCCCTGCCACAGAAGGGAGTTTTTCTCAGTCAGCACACAGGCAGCTGGTGGAGGGAAGTACAAGAAAAGCACTGCCGCATACAAAGCATGAAAACAACAATCTCTAAATCCAGCCTGCATCTGCAGAGATTGGGAGCTGCCTCCCGACAGCTGGCTGGGAGGCGAGGGCTGCCAGGGGCTGCACACCAGCCTGGGCAAACGCCTGCAAGACCCCATCCAGCAAGAGAGCGAGTCGGGGACCTGAGGCCTGTTCTTTCCCCTCTGCATCAAGAGAGAGCCCTTGAAGCCCCAAGGTCTGTTTTATGCCAAAAAAAAAAAAGCCTTAAAAACCACCAAGGTTGGGTGGTGCAGTTATCTGTATCCCCCCCCCACTGGAGGCTGTCCGTGTCCATACCTGCTCTGTCCCATCCTGAGAGATAAGTGAGACCTGCGTAGGCACACAGTCTTCATCTTCCTCTTCCTCTTCTTCCATCTCTGACAGGAAAGCAATATGCTGGGTCTTCAAGGGGGAGCCGCTGTCAGCAGCAGCAGCTGAGTCAGGGAAGGGGAAGAGCAAGAGAGAGAAGTGGTGATCAGAGGGTGAAAGCACAGGCCTGATCCCGGGATCCCCCTGTTCCCTGAACGGCCAGCACGGAAGGGCACAAGGTCATGATGACAACAGCCCACTGCTGGCCTGGGAAGAAGGGTCTTTAGTCCATTCCCAACCCGTGACAAACAGCGATGACCATGCGGAACCCTCTACTCTCGTCTGTGCCACAGATCTGGGTTTGATGGGAGAGGCAGGAGGCCACAGCACAGACCTGGGTCTGAGAGAGGAGGGCAGCTGTGGGCTCTCGCTGTCATCTCTGTCCCCATTGCCACACGGCCTGCCCCAAGCCTGCTGACAGAAGAGTGACTGCTCACCCTCCAGCTGCTGGCGTTCGTAGAGGGCCTGCTCGCTCTCCTCCGTGGCCTCCAGCTCGCCGTGGCTGCTGCGCTTGTGCATGGCCAGCGTGGAGGTCTGCCGGTAGGTCTTGCCGCAGCTGTTGCAGGTGTAGGGCTTGCAGTGCGTGTGGACCACGTGGTGCTTGTAGAGACTGGAATACTCCGTGAAGCGCTTTCCGCAGCCCGGCACGGTGCACATGTAGGGCTTCTCTCCTACGACAGAGGCCACAGAGCAGAGCTTAACCCACTGACTCACCCTCCTCCTGCTCTAGGAAGGGGTTCTCCATCAAGAGCGAATAGCTGGAGACAGACTGGTGGAATGATCAGCCCAAAAAACCAATTCCTATTTCCTTTAACTCCCTGGCTACCCCGAGATCTACCACTGCGATGTTTGGCCTGGAAAGAACCATTTCCAGCCAGCAGCCAGGCAGCCAGGAGGAGCTGCCTGTGTTTCATCCTCTCCTCCTCTTACCTGTGTGGATCCTCATGTGGTTCTTGTAGTTGGTGGCGCTGGTGAAGCCCCTGCCGCAGTTGGGCTGCGGGCACAGGTAGGGCCGCTCGCCCGTGTGCGTCCGGATGTGAACCTTGCGGATGTTGGACGTGGTGAACGAGCGGCCACAGCCCACGAAGGGGCACTTGAAGGGACGCTCCCCTGCATTGAGAGAGCAACGTGGGTGAGAGTCCTGCTACAACACAGCCACCTGGAATGCCCCGGACACCGGCACCTCTTCACTCCACACTATTACACCAGTGAGACCTCACATCACACCAACTGCGGGCACATTTTCTCTAACAACATTGGCACCCCTGCCCCTTTTGCTCTGCTGTTCATAACTAAGCCAAGAATCCCTAGAACTACTTCTACTACGCATCGACTTCTGTCAGAAGACAACTTCAGTTCTGCCTTGTTTCACCCAAGATACAAAAAAGGGATGTTCTGCACAGAGACTGAAGCAGTACTTTATCTGGGAGGCCCTTTCGATGGCAGCTCGGTTCTCCTCCCCTGCTGCTCACCTGTGTGTGTCCGGATGTGTTTCTGTAGATCCCCAGAGGTTTTGAAGGCTTTGCTGCACACATCTTCTGGACACTTGTATGGTTTCTCACCAGTATGTGTTCTCACGTGGCTCTTCAGCCCATACCCTGTCCAGGAAAGAAACTGCAATTAATTTTATAATGAGAAGGAAATAATATAGCAAAACATGTACCACCTCTCAGTTCATGCATTTTTGAATGTCTGTCCTGTGTCTGCAAATCTGAAGGGAAAGAAACATCCAAACACCTCACACCACCACTGACAGCTTGGCTTCTTCCTGCAACTCCTTTAATCTGCCCATAATGAATCAAGTCCTGGGCAGTCTCCCACACTCCAATTGCTTCTCAGAAGGCTTTAAAAGGTAAGATCACTGTGCTCTGCTGGAAAAAAGCCAGGGCTGATACTCAAGACTGGTTTGGACGGGTCAGAAAACAAAATTTGTTCAAAAGAGAAATTGTTACCTGTAGCAAATGCTTTCCCACAGCTTGGGAAGTCGCACACATACGGCCGGTCACCCGTGTGAGCACGTTCATGTACCTGGAAAAGAAAGAACAGGTGCCTAAAACGAAGTCCAAGACAAGGAGAAAAGAAAACACAGTGGAGAAATCTAACTGGTGGAGAGAATCCGAAGTTCTCTGTTGGATTTCACATTGGCCAATTAACACATCTGGGTCTCTTGGGGAGCCAAGTGCACAACTCAGCCTTTCGCACAGCAGGGTTCGGATCTGGCACTATGAGGTGGGGATATGCCTGCTCTGCATGACTGCACGGGACCTGCTTTACCTTTAGATGGTGGGCAGTGGTGTAGAGGCGGCCACAGCCTTGGTACCCACAACGGAAAGCTCTGCTGCCCACCTGCTGCCCCTTCTCACTGCTGTGCACTTCCTCCTCCTGCAGATCCTGCCCGGAGACACATGGAAATCAGAACAGTGAGACACTACAGCAGGCTTCGCAAAGAATTTCCCTCCATGCTATACACATGCACTCCTTCAGTAGTCCTCACAAAAACACGTTGCTGCAAGTACAGCTTGTGCACACACACAGTGCAGCCCAGGTGAGAGGACAGGAGTCTAGGAACCAGCATTTCCCACTCCTGCCTCACTGGGTGTTCTCAGCCACACAACTCACCTCCCCGTGCCTCACTTAGCTGCAAGTTTTACAAATGAGCTAATATATTTGCTAACCTTGCAGAGAAGCCACAAAGCTGTTTTTTAATTACTAGCTGGCAAAGGGATCTGCATCAAAAGGAGTTTGGCCTAGATTCAGAAATGCCCCACTGAAAAAGTCAGACCTGGGAAGGGACGTCACTGGGATCCTCACTCGTTGTATGGTGGGTGTTCACCACTCCCTCCTCTTCCTCCTCAGACACCTAAAAGTGAAGAGGCATGGGTACTGTTCATACCTCCCTGTGCAGCATGGAGCGGGTGACCAACCCCAGCAGGAAGGGATTCCCATCAGCAGTGCCACCCCAGTCTTCTCCAGAGACCTGGGGGAGGCTGGTCCTACCACAGCAGAAAGGTCTCCATCAGCAAATCCTAGTGCTGCCCAGCTGAGCACTGGACCAGCACAATCCTGGGAGCCCCTTCTCACACACCACCATGAAGATGGGAGAAAATGGCAACATGCAAGACATTCAGATGGAGCACTGCAGTGACAACATGTTAGTGTTTGAAGCTATTTTGTTTTTTGAGGCCTTTGTCAACATGAGGAAGAGCGGCCATAACTTAGTCGCTCCTGACATGGAAAAGGCTACTCTTGATCTGCTGCCTGAATCATCTGTGGAACAGGACATCATACCCAGGTAGCATTATGAGAAACTCAGGCAACAAACAGCTACAAGGAGGGACACTTAAAGCAAGAAAAAATAAATCCAAGCTGTATCACAGCAGCAATCTGCTCTTCCCAAAGGCGTGCCTGCAGCAGGCCCAGCACTCTGTAGGAACCAGCCAGAAGGTCCAGCAGGAAACTGCCCCGTTCTAGGTCCTTAACTGCCAACCACCTGCCAGCAGTGGCACCCTCACAGCGCCACTCTCACCCTGCCCAGTCTCTCTTCTCAAAGCTGGCACTGCTGAGAAACAAATACACAGAAGGACTAATGACAGGAGGACATCTAAGCCCCAGGGAGGACACCAGCCCCTCAGTGCTGCTGGCAGACCATGAAAGCAGCACTGTCCTCACCTTACTGGCGTACTGCTTTAATGCATTCATGGTCTCGACATCAAAGGCATCGTCTTCCTCCCCTCCAGCCAACTCCTCAAGCCCAGTTTCTGCCTGCACTTCCAGGATGGTGCTGCCAGGTGGCACGATGACAGGACGATGGATGTAGGCAGTGGAGCCATCCTCCAGCTGGACAGCCTCAAAGGTGCCGGGGTCATAACTTTCTAGGAGAGGAACCCAATAAAATAAAACATAAAGGAGCTGCTGAGTGCAAGGCGCTCTTCGTCTCCCTGAGCTATGCTTTAGCAGCTTCTGCTCCAGCTGTCAAGGGAAGAACAGGCAACACGCTTTACCTTTAGTGGTGTTGTGAATGTAGGCCATACTGCCATCTTCCAGCACTACTGGCTGCCCGTCTTCAAAAGCTACAGACTCTAGAAAAGAAAAAAATCCACACAGCTTACTGGAAAACTCAGATGGAATGGAGGGGATCCCGCAGCAGCTCCTGAACACTACATTATTCCCACCCCGAGAAGAGGACACAGCAGGGCAGCCTGGGTGCCCTGAGAGTCAACCACAACTAGAGGTTCTAAGACACTTGAGCCCTTCTGACATGAATTATAAGGGTTTTTTTAAAGCTCCATGCAAGCTTCACCACTCTTCTTCAACTCCTTGGTGTAATCAGCAATTCCAAAATGCCAGATTATGCCCTGGACAAGAAGGATGGCTCTGGCACAGGGGTGTGTGAAGGAGAACACAAACATCCAATAGCAGGGAAACAGGGGTGAGAAGGAAAACCCCTCTCACCGTGAGTGTGTGCTTGGAGGAAGAGGGGAAGGGGAGGAAGAGAGGAAAAGGGCACAGCCAGGCATGCAACGTGGGTTTCAAGCAACCTTGTACAAACAGAAAAGGGAGGTGGCATGCAAGGAGCTTGGGAGGGTGAAGGAAGGACTGCCCAAAGCAACGGAGCTCTTTCTACCTGCCCTTTTACATCATATCGTGGTCAGGGAGGACTCCTCTGTGCCACTCTGGTGCCTGCCACACGAAATGAATGCCCATCACCTCTTGGATTAATTAATGTCGCCTCAATTTGGAGGTGACATTGGCGGATGGGCCAATGACCAAGGTGGCATTGCTTCCAATGATGTTCTGCACCCACAAATCTATTCCAGAAATAATATATTATCTCACTGTTTACAGGAAATTCCTGTCCAACTGCTCCCACATGAAACAGATTTTGTTTGGGCTCTGTAGTTGGCACAAACACAGCACACAATTTATTGGCCTTGCTTGTAGGCTTGTGATTTGTCAGACTGACAACCGTGAGAGAGCCCACAAGTGAAACAACACGTAAACATTTGCTTACACCACCAGCAAATTTGCCTTCTTTTCAGATTGCTAAAACTTTGCAGGACATGACATGTTCTATGCCCTTCCTTGCTCATTCAGCCTCAAAATCATTTGTGTGAAAAAAACCCTATACTCATACGGACTTCTTAAAGCTAGAGCTAAAAGAGAAGCCCGACTATTGGAACACAGACAATTGCAGTTACATCTACAATGTCCTTCTAAAAAGAAAGATGTGAATTTATGGTCCTCACCTTTCTGAACCGTCACCTGATGGATATAAGCTGTGGTCCCATCTTCAAGTTCAATGACTTGCCCTTCAATCAGTTTTTCACCTGAAACAGTTAAAAAATTGCCATCAGCACTGCCCATGGTGGCCAATCTTTCTGGTCCCACGAGGTGTCCCCTTTGCCGCATCTTCCCAAGGAACCCAGTCCCACAGAAGACAGCAAAACTGTTACTTATAAGCTGTTATTTATCAAGCTTCTCCCTGAATAGCCATAGAGGCACTTAACTTCCCAGAAATGCTGGAGCCTCCCTGTCCTAGACAGGAGGATACAAGACAAAGAACCTCAGTCATCACTTGTTTACAAGCTGCCCCGCACAGCCCTGTAAGCCAAGAAGCAGAAAGAATGATGTGTGCTAAGCATTTTGGATATCTAAAGTAGAAAGCAATTGCACTTGTGCCGGAGAAAAATTCAGCTAGGAGCTTTTAACAGCACCATCAGCAGGGGCCTGAAGATTTATTTTCTTCTACTTCGGTGGAAGAACAACTATTGGAAAAAAATTACAGGACCTAAGGGGACTTAAAGTGTTTCTACCCTTGATGGGTTGTGAAGACTGGACTCTTAAAATAGTGTAACTCTCAGTAACCCTGTAATAATGCTCCAGTTAACAAATTATTTGATGGAGAGAGGACATTGCTCTATCCCACTTGAACACGAGGAATCCAGGTTGCTTTCACCTGGTGCACAATGTTTGGGGGAAGTGTCACAAAACCTAGTGGTTTCCAAGATAGTCTCACTTCACACATGTAATAAACTTGCAGGGAGTTCACACAGAAAAGAAAGCAAGAGAACAATCCCCAGGACATGAAGCCTCACAACTCAACGGTCCTGTTCCGCAGGCTGGGAAACAGCCTGGTCCTTTTCTCAGGAACAGTGGGCGGTGAAAGAACCAGCACCTCCAAACCCCAAAATAAAGGCAGGTGTTGAATTTGGCACTGATATTGCTCCAGTTAACCAACGCCAAGCTCAGCACCCCTTTAAGTGAAAAAACCATTACTGTCATCCAAATTCTATGCGTCGGAGTGAAGTAAAACATCCTGCTTAGCTTCAGGGGAAGTTTTTGGTTGAAAAGAGTCCTGCGGCCTACAGCATGAACTCCATTTCCCCAGTGACCCCAGAGATAACAGGGCTCACTCCAGTCTGAACAGAACCTTTGTTTTCTACAGCAACAGCTCTGCCATCTCAGAGAATCACAGAAGGCTACGGGGTTGGAAGGGACCTCTGGAGATCATCTAGTCCAACTCCCTTCCAAAGCAGGTTTACCCAGAGCAGGTCCCAGCGGGTTTTGAATCCCTCTAGAGATGGAGACTCCACCACCTCTCTGGGCAGCTTCTTCCAGGGCTCTGCCACCCTCAGGGTAAAGAAGTTCCTCCTCATGTTTAGATGGAACTTCTTATGTTCAAGTTTGTGCCTGTTACCTCTTGTCCTGTCACTGGGCACCACTGAAAAAAGACTGGCCCCGTCTTCCTGACACCCACCCTTTAAGTATTTATAAGCATTGATTAGATCCCCTCTAAGTCTTCTCTTCTCCAGACTAAAAAGACCCAAGTCCCTCAGTCTCTTCTCGTAAGGGAGATGCTCCAGGCCCCTCATCATCTTTGCAGCCCTCTGCTGTCCCCTCTCCAGCAGTTCCCTGTCCTTCTTGAACTGGGGAGCCCAGAACTGGACACAGTGCTCCAGATGGGTGTGACCCCTCTGGAGCAGAGGGGCAGGATGACCCCCCTCAACCTGCTGGTCACACTCTTCCTGATGCCCCCCAGGATGCCATCGGCCTTCTTGGCCACAAGGGCACATTGCTGGCTCATGGGCATCCTGTTGTCCACCAGGACTCCCAGGTCTTTTTCCTCAGAGCTGCTCTCCAGCAGGTCAGCCCCCAGCCTGTACTGGTGCACGTCCAAAGCTTTATTTCCAAACCAGAGGCATGTTCTAGTTCTGCTGCATCGTTTTTCTGTGCAAATCTAACAGATAGTTGCTAGCTTCCTGTACCAAGCAACAAGATCTACAACAGTTTGCATGCCATGAAGGCACTTTTGATAAGTCTGACTTTAATTTCACAGGGTCAATCAAAAGACTTTTAGGCTTCGCAGTCCCAAGGAACCGTTACCTTTGACAGCCTGCTGAATGTAGGCTGTCGTCCCGTCACTAAGGGTCACTGCTTGCAAGCCCAAGCTCTCCATCCTGCCCCGATGCCTGCTCCTCAGACATGAATTTCACTTTTCTCAGTGTGCTCGCAGAGAGCACCGGGACCCAGAGCGAGAGGTTTGTGGAACAGTGAGTTGTCTTCTATGTTGCAAGCCTTAAACAGAAAGAATAATTCAATATTTTTTTTTTCCAACATACGTATACTCACTTTTGCACATTAAGAAAGGCTTGAACTATTTTGGAGATGATAAAGGATTAAACTGGGCAAAAGATGCACCAATCCCATACCACTGGCAAGCAAGGTTAACAATCTATCCCACAGACAAATATAAGATAGAGCTTATCAAGCCTGCAAACTGACAGACTCTTTTTAGAGCTAGTGTAAATGCCATGTTCAAGCCCTTCCCACCCTCCAAATGATCTGCAGCAAAGGTTCCCAAGTACTTTGAAGTCTGAACCTACAGGCTGAGGCTGTCCTGTGCCAGAAGAGACAGGGACAGGACAATGAGCTTTGTCCCTGGAAGCACCCCCATTCTCTCCTCCCTTTCCTTTCTAGTTCCCAGCCTTCTGAGGAACAGAATTGTGGGCTATAACCAGATGATGTTAAAACATCCACACCCCCGCAAGACCATTTTGCTAAAGAGGCAGTCTGCTGATAGATTATCTTTAAGAGCTGCAGCGGATTCTACATGAGTAACCTCTGAGATAGCCTAATGTTTTATCATTTTGATTTCCAGGAACAAGTCTGACTGCTCTGTCACTGCAGCACCCAGGGGTGCAGCCAGGCTCTGTGCCACACTTGGTGCCCTCTAACCCAAGTGCTCCCTTGACAGAGAGCTCCTCTCCAGCTGCAGCAGACTCTGCCTGCTTTTAGGGCTGACACCCCCCGAGAGGCATTGCAGTTAGTTTCCCAGCAAAGGCTCCATCCCAGCAGGGTCACTGGGGCATCGCTGGGGAATTGAAGCCCCTTTGAGCTGCTATGGCTGCCGTGCAAACTGATGCCAGCGCTGGGGACAGGGCAGGGCCTGGAGCCCTGAGGGACAGGACGGGGCCTGGCGCCATGGCGAGCCCAGAGGGGAGCGGCGGGGCCGGGCGGGCCCTTGGTGCCCTGGGGGTGGTGGGGAGACATGGCGGGGCTTCCCCCGTGTTGTCGGCCCTGGAGGGGTGGCCGCAGCAGCTCGCCGGAGCCCAGCTGCCCCTCGGCCACCATCTCTCCCCCCTCCCCTGAGGCCTCCCCCACCACCACTGGCACCGACCTGAGGAAACCCGACGGGGCCGAGTCCGCCGCCTGACCGCCATGCACCGGGGCCCGGCCCCTGCTGGCCCCGCCCCGCAACCTGCATAGCGGCGGCGCTCACCGCCTGGCCTCAGCCGCCCGCCCCCTGCCATCCAGGTTCCGGGGCCCCGCGCTCCCAGCCCGCCCCGGAACTGGGCCGGTTTGGAGCGAGCGAGTCGCCGGGCGGTCCGTGCGCGTGCGCATTGCCCACATTGAAGCCGAGCGGGTCAGTGTGCGCTCAGGGGCCTGCCCCAGCGGAGACCTTCGGCGGCTCCTTGCGCAAATAAACTTAATAAGGAGGTTTTATAGCACCTGAAGGCCAAAAGAGGAAACGTGTCCCAGCAGCAGGGCGTTGCGGTGTCTCCTTCCCGGCGGCTGCTGAGGGGAGGCTGGCGTTTCTGGGTTGCGTACCCTCATCACTGCCCTGTGAAGCGATGGAGGAGCTCCTGGCCTGGTGGTCTGAGGCAGGGGTAAAGAGACCACGGCCGTTCGATTAGCGAGGAAGGGAACTGCCCGCCGAGGGGAGCTGAGAGGCGAGGGAAGCCGGCGCAGGCCCTCCCCGCCACTCCCAAGATGGCGGCCACACTGGTCCGCCCTCCGCCACTCTCAACATGGCGGCCACACTGTTCCACCATCCGCCACTCCCAAGATGGCGCCGCGCCGCCAAATCTCGCGAGATATCTGCCCTATTTATAGCGCGCGGGGGACTTCCGCGCCCTTTCGGTCCCGGCCCGCCGCCGCCATGAGGTGAGAGCTGGTCCCCGCCGCGCCATCCCTCGCCATCCGCCGCCATCCGCACCCGGCGGGGCGATCGGCGGGGTGCGGGCAGCGGGGGGTGGCTGAGGGGGAGAGCGCGGATGGGCCGGGGCGGGTTCCGCGGCCTTGTCCCCCTCGATGCGGCCTGCAGGAGGCCCAGGCAGGGTCGGCCCTGAGCCCGCCTTGTTTTTCCTCCCCCCCGCAGCAGCAAGGTCTCCCGCGACACCCTGTACGAGGCGGTGAAGGAGGTGCTGCAGGGCAGCAAGGTCAAGAAGCGCAAGTAAGAGCCCAGCGCCGTGACAGGCCCGGGAGTGGGTCTCCCTCTCCACCCCGCCCGCCCGGGCCCTCACCGGCGCCGCTTCCCCTTTCCTCTCCCCTCAGGTTTGTGGAGACGGTGGAGCTGCAGATCAGCCTGAAGAACTACGACCCGCAGAAAGACAAGCGGTTCTCCGGCACCGTCAGGTTCGCCATCCTCTTGCTCCCACCCAGCCTTCGGCCTGCGCCCTCCCACCCCCGGCAGCTTCCAGGCCCCGCCGCAGCGTGGGCCGGCGGCCACAGAGGGAGGACGCAGCGCTGAACCGCTTGGGTAGTTCAGACCACCCCGGTTAAGTGGGTACGGCTGGACGGACCCCTACCCTGGGTCTTAAAACATGAGGGGAGGTGTGGGAGGCCCCTGTGGTGTCCCCACCGACCTGCTGGAGAAGGCAGGTTAGGAGCTGTGGAGGAAGATCCCCGGGCGCTGTGGTAAGGTATCTCCGTGGTGGCTCCCATGAAGCGTGTATGGCAGTGGTGGTTCCTAGTAATTCGGACCTTCTGTCCCCAGGCTGAAGTCAACTCCGCGGCCCAAGTTCTCTGTCTGCCTGCTGGGGGACCAGCAGCACTGCGATGAGGCCAAAGCGGTTGACATCCCTCACATGGACATAGAGGCTCTGAAGAAACTCAACAAAAACAAGAAGCTGGTGAAGAAGCTGGGTGAGTGGTGGTGTGGATCGGGCTCTGAGTCCCCTGGGCTGGCTCGGGAGGGCTGAGTCAGCAGGATTGTTGTCCCTGGGCTTGGATTTCCATGCCATGGTTAACCATGGGGAATAGAAAGCTGACCAGAGTCAGCCTGGAGTACAGAAATCTGTCTAGAAACAACCCCAGAAATAGCAAACACCCTGCTGAGAGTGCAGAAGGGCTGACGGGTCACCACTCCAGGAGTAGGGGTGCCCTCAGAAGCAATACAGGAAAATCATTCCTTTCTCCCTGAAAGTTTAATCCTTGGGCTGGTGTTTCTCGCTTCACCGGTCAGGGAGCAGGAGTGTGGCAAAACCTGAGTAAAGCTGGAAGTGAAAGTTTGCTTTAGTCCCACTGTGCTTAAGCAGAATAAAATTTGCTTATTTTCACTTGGTAAGAGATAAAACCCTTCATTCGCTTCAAAGTCATTGTGATACATATCTTGGGTAAAGAAAAACTTCCCACTCAGTTCATAATTAGCCATAGAAGCATATGCAAATAGGAAATGACACAGGATAGCACAGCTAAGCCTTGCTGTGTGGTACGTCCATCCATCCACACGTGCACAGGCTCCTGGAAGAGCTTGCAGGTCAGTGTCGGTCACCTGTGGCTTGATAAATGCCAATTTTTGTCAGGGAAATTAATTGTATCCAGTAAGAACATGCTGTCAGGGTGTAAAGCTGGGTTCTGGTGGGTTTGGCTGTTGTGACAGGAGTAATTTCCAGTATAATACTAGGAAAAATAGCTTAGGTTCAGCTGGGCAGGACTCTGGGAATACGGAAGCCAGGGAAATGGAGGGGATGTTGAGGGAAATGGAGCAGTGCAGCCTCAGCTGAGCTGTTGGTCTCAAGCTGGTTTAGGAGCTGAGAGTCCATCCTTACCTGCATTGGTTCTCCTCACAGCAAAGAAGTACGATGCCTTCCTGGCTTCCGAGTCCTTGATCAAGCAAATCCCTCGAATCCTGGGTCCGGGTCTGAACAAAGCCGGCAAATTCCCTTCGCTCCTCACTCACAATGAGAACCTGGTGGCCAAGGTCGATGAGGTCAAATCTACCATCAAATTTCAGATGAAAAAGGTAAAGCAGGGCTTTTCCTCTCCAGGGTAGCTCCTTACCTGAGGGTGATGTGTGGCCAGTGGTCCCTTGTGCGTGGCTGCCGTCTGCGGCCTGGGCTGTAGGTGTCCCTCCAGCATCTTCTGAGGCAGCAGCTGGTGACAGTCTCTGCAGAGAAGGGAGGCAGTACCTGGAGCACTCAGTGTGGGCTGGAAAGAAGTAATTTATCTGTGGCTGAGAGATCTTAGAGCAAATGATTAGCGTTTAATCTTGATGTTTCAATGCTGAGCTCAATCAGGCATAATTAACGCTGCTTACAGTAAGTGGTAACACTGGCAGGGTGGCCCCACGGGCCTGTGCACACAGCTGAGCTTTGCCAGGGGCGAGTTTGGGGCTTGACTCTGCAAGTGAACTTTTGGAGCAGCTCTGCAGGTACCTGCTCTCGCTGCCAAGGCGAGCTGCTCCCCACAGCCAAAATAACCCTGTTCAGGCATTTTAATCTCATGGTGGCAGCCTAAGTGTGACTCATGGGTATTACTCAGAACTAACAGCTCTGCTCGCCAAGGTGCATCCTTGGGCTCCAGCCGATCTGGGCCTGGGGGCACAACAACTTGGAGGACACAGAAAATGTGATAGTTTGCAAATGCTGGAGCATTTTAAGTAACCGAGCTAATGATGTCCTGACACTCTGCCTGTCAGCTCGCTCGTAAATCCTTTTGTTTTCAGCCTGTGGGGAACATCAACTTACAAGCTCCGCCGCCGGGCTGGCAGGCAGAGGCTTGGCCTCGCTGTGTCTTCTGTGCGGGAAGAAAGGGCTGGTGGCTGGTGCCCAAAACAAAAAAAAAAAAAGTGAAGCTGGCACCACGCTTCACAAGTGACGGTTGGAACGAATCCTCCATCCTGAGCTGGGCACGTGGTTCGCAGGGAGAGGCCAGCGCTGCCTGATGAGAGCAGGGTATGGGAAGGGAGCAGAGCTCTGTTCAGCACGGCTCCTCACGCATCCTTCCCAGTTTCCCATCTCTTAAGTCACCTCTGTGCCTGGAGGGAGCCAGACCAACCCAAGCTGTGGTTCATAGGTGACATCCAGATGCCACTAGACAGGTTCATGGGTGCCAAATATCATGAGCTCTTTGGAAAAACCTGTGGATTAGCTGGAGAAGTCATAGAATCACAGAATAGTTTGAGTTGGAAGGGAGCTTCAAGCCCCCCTGTGCCACCCCCTGCCCTGGGCAGGGACACCTCCCACCAGCCCAGGTTGCTCCAAGCCCCCTCCAACCTGCCCTTGAACCCCTCCAGGGATGGGGCAGCCACGGCTTCTCTGGGCAACCTGGGCCAGGCTCTCCCCACCCTCACACCAAACAAGTTCTTCCCCACATCTCAGCTCCATCTCCCCTCTTTCAGTGTCAAACCCTTGCCCCTCCTCCTAGGGCTCCCCTCCCTGATCCAGAGTCCCTCCCCAGCTTTCCTGGAGCCCCTTGAGGGACTGGAAGGGGCTCCAAGGTCTCCCCGGAGCCTTCTCTTCTCCAGGCTGAACCCCCCCAACTCTCTCAGCCTGTCCTCACAGCAGAGGGGCTCCAGCCCTCCCAACAACTCCATGGCCTCCTCTGGAGGTCCTTCCTGTGCTGGAAGTCATGCCTAGCTGACAGAACATGAGATAACTTGATGCCTCAGTGAATTTAGATCAGGATTGGGCTGTTGGATCCATCTCTTAGCTGCGATCTTCTGAGTTTTCCACACAAAACCTCTACCTCCCTGAGTGACCCCGGTGTCCCTTGTCCCACAGGTGCTCTGTCTGGCTGTGGCCGTTGGTCACGTGAAGATGACAGAGGATGAGCTCGTCTACAACATCCACCTGGCCATCAACTTCTTGGTGTCCTTGCTGAAGAAGAACTGGCAGAACGTGCGTGCTCTGTACATCAAGAGCACCATGGGGAAGCCCCAGCGCCTCTACTAAGGGGGCAGCAATAAACTTTTAGGACAACCTACAGCCGTGTGTGGTGGTGTGTGGTTGTGTTCCTCCAGAGCTTCTTGGGGAGGGGTGGCTGAAGAGCTGCTCACTTCTTAGAAGGGAGAAAGGTCTAGAATGCCGTGGTGAGCTGATAGGGATGTGAATTTAAGTGGAATATCAAACTTTTGGGGGAAGGAGCCTCAATTCTGTGTTCAGGGAAGGGGATGAGCTCCGCTCACATCCACAATGAGCAAACCCAAGGCGTTTCCCGCAGCTGAGGGTGTGTGGTGAAGCTCAGTCCTTGTGTGGCAGCCCCAAAATCCCCCAGCTCTCCCCCAGAGGGGACCCTTACCTTCTCCTGTGGTCCCCAAAGCCACCCTGCAGAGGGGCTCTGTCCTGTCCCAGCAGCCTCCTCCTTCTGAGGGACTGGGTTGGGGGGGACACTTCATTTATAGGTTTCTGCTGCCCCCACATCAACCAATGACCAGGGTCCTGCCCAGCAGCAGCTCATGAGGAGCTGATGGGCTCTTCCAGCTGGTCCCAGTTACCCAGAGGACTGGGGGGGCTGCTGGGGGGGGTGAGGTGCAGTTCAACGAGGGGGTTGGGGCCAAGGTAAAGAGTGTTTTCCACCCCCTCTGCGCTACCCCCTGTTCTGGGCTTAAAATGAGATATATTGCATCAAATTAATGTATATAAATAAATACATTGTGTAATGAACTGGGGAGCTTATGGAAATGAGGAGGATTTAAGCTTCTGGGGGAAAAAAACCAACCGCCCTATGGCCTTGAAAAGAGCTTGTCTGAGGGAACAAAACAATGAAAATAGCTGTGGATCCTGCTGTTCAGAACCTTTAAAAGAAGCATTAGAGCCAGTTTCTGAAAGATCAACACAACACCAAGAAATTCCATTTAATAATTAAAAAAAGACAATACAAAATGCAAACATTTCTTTTTACAAAGTTCAGATACATTTTTTTATTTTTTTTCTTTTAATCAAGTGCAAATAACTTCATGAACTACATCATTCTCATTACTTTAATAATTTCTTTTCTTTTTTTTTTTTTTTTTTTGGCTGGAGGTGGCAAGTCCTGGCCCGCTGCAAAAGGCAGATATAAATATTCCAACATGAAAAAAAAAAAACAAAAAAAACCCCAAAAACAAAACCCAAAAAACCCAACAACCCTTATTTATCTTCACTGCATCGAAACATTCAATACATCCGAGGGGCTGATGAT